ATGCAATACCTTTAATTCTGAAGGACTTAGAGCACAAAAGGATCGGAGGCCACTGCTACTTTTCTTGGCAGTGCAAACCTCCAGGGTCACTTCGTTTGGCAACAAACAAGACGGAGATGGAGGGCATGACCACCTAATGCCGGGATGATGCACAACCGAGGTCACATGGAATCACATGGGATTGGATCTGGCCGGTGGCATGGTGGATTGCATCGTCGGCGGTGGATTTTGTCTTTAGCGGCGAGGTGGGAAGGGAGCACAGTGTGTAGGAGATGGAACCTTAGGCTGCGCCATCGGAGAGGGCAGGAGCGGCGTTGTCGACGAGGAGCTTCAAGAGAGGTGCGGCAGAAGCAGAGAGAAGGGAACGGATGCCAGGGGAGAAATTTAATATTCCCTTCGTCTAGGTGTTTAAGTCACCTTACGAAAACCAAATAATCTCAAAATATTTATGCACCGTACATTAACTCCCTCCTTGTTTATTATTTTGTGGCATATCAGCTAATAAGATATGTGGGCCATGCATGCTTTCAATGACTTGAGACTACCAAACATAACATGCAGTGGTTATCATTGCATGCAATGCTATTAATTAGTAAAAAGACATTAAGTTTTCTCGTTTTTCTCGCCGTCTTGGTCGCGATGCACAATGTAAGATGAGTTATACATCTAGACGGAGGACATAGTAGAGGGACAGGGCATGTGTGCTTGCGTCAAATACGGTGGTTAGCACCAGTTATCTTTTTCTTTTGTGAGGGTAACAACACCTAGGCCTTAACTGTGGGATCGACCAGGCATAGACGGATCACAGGTGGTCTGGCGATCGCTTCGCGTCAGATTTCCCTTTGCAAATCTCTGGGCAAGGTTGTGGCTGATTGGCGTCTCCTCAGATTTGGCTCTCCATTGCGCTAGAATAGAGAGGGGCAGTTAATGAGGGAATCAGAGATATTGCGCCTAATTATGTGCTTAATAACTGCCTGTGTCAATTACGGAATTAGTAATTTTCTTCAGAAAACGAAAATGTTAATGCCCACACCTGTAGACGTTAGTCAACTCATCCACACGCCTCCATCACCGTCCAGCACCTTCTGCACGAATCTTGGCACGAATTAGCTGATTTTGTATGCCACGTAGGACAACTCGCGTGTGTAGTGTGTGAGAGAGATCGCCCACACATTCGTTTTACCACACAGAGGGGCCGGTGTGTGGGCGTTTAGCAGTTCGCCCACACACCAGTTTTTCAGTCACGCACAAGAGCTGGTGTGTGGGCGTTTGCCATCTCGCCCACACACCCACCTCCTCTCCCACACCCAAGCTGCCAGTTGCCATGCGTTTTGCAGTGTACATGGCAACTGCCCTAGTATGATTGCAAGCAGATGGCAACTCTCTCTTTTTTTACCCGAACATGTCAGTTGCCATATGTTTTGCATGGTACATGGCAAACTGCCCTAGCATGCACATAAGCAGATGGCAACTCTTTTTTTTAAATGGCAACTGCCCTAGCTTGCTTGTGAGCACATGGCAACTCTCTCTTTTACCCGAACATATTTTTTGCCATGCCTTTTTTTGTAGCGCTACATGGCAACTACCTAGTGTTAGTAGGTGGCAACTCCTAAAAAAAAAGGGCAACCTGGTGCATGTAGCTCCCGCTTGCGTAGGGTCCAGGGAAGGGTCCGACCACTTTGGGTCTATAGTACGCAGCCTTTCCCTATATTTCTGTAAGAGGCTGTTTCCTGGACTTGAACCCATGACCTCATGGTCACAAGGCAGCAGCTTTACCACTGCGCCAAGGCTCCCCTTCAGTAGGTGGCAACTCCTAAAGTTTTGAAATCATGGCAACTGCAGTAGACCAGACCACACATGGCAACAACTGTAATTTTCCAAAAAATGGCAATCTGGAACTTTGACCTGAGATGGCAACTGCAGTTGAGCAAACATGGCAACTGTAGTTGTCCGACATGGCAACCGTAGTTCAGTGACATGGCAACTGCACTTAAACGAATATGGACGAGGGTCCGGCCCATGACAACTGCGGGGCGCGCGGTAAAGTGTCACGTGGGGCGTGCGGGACCACGAGGTACGAGGTCTGACGTATCGGGCATGTGGGCGTTATCTGTTTCGCCCACACGCACGCGTGTAAGTGGGGCCGGGAGGGAAAAAAGAGACGTGTGGGCGCTAATTGTTTTGCCCACACACAGACATGGGCTGGTCCTCTTAGGCACCACATAGAACGTGTGGGCAGATTCCTTAACACCCACACATGTGACAGTTATCGGTGTCCTCAGAAAATAGCGGCTTATTTATCTGCATGCATTGGCTCCGAATAGGAAACTATTTCACACCCGTGAAGATGGGAAGTAGTGAAAGGAAACCGTAATTAATGATAATTGTGCCTTATGAGAATCAGGACGTACGAAGGATCACACGATCATATCTGCCAAATATGGTCACCCAATAATGTATTTGCCATTAGTTTTCCATTAGGCCACACCATCCATGGCTATTATTAAACCCGTTAAGCTATGCATGAAGGGCGGCCAATCAGTTGTGCCACGTGGCACAAGTTGATTGGCTGCGGTGAGAAATCTTTTGGAAAAAAATTAGATGAAAGCGTAGATTATTTTTTAAATGCATCTTTTTAGATGGAGGTGAGAACCTTTGGTGTTTTTTTTAAATAGTGGGTTATGCAAAGTGGCACTCTTTGGTAGGCTGTGGTGAATTTTTTTTCTTTTTTTAAAAAAATGAAGGTGAGGATTTTTTTTTCTGAGATGTTCTTTTAGACGGAGGCGAGGACTATGTATTTTTTTAATAAAAATGTGCGCACAAATTCCTTTCAAGCGGTGCCACAGGGTGGCGCCCCAAGTACTAGTATATATAACAGATGGTGTAGACTATTTGGATGTGCATCAGTTTTGTGATCAATTACATTTCTTCGTGTCTTGATAATTGTTGAGACATGGGAGTCCTCAAGGTTCCAAGCCTGCCATGCTTGGTATTTCTCATGCTACTCCTCTTGGCTCCTGGTAAGTTTTAAAGAACAAGGAACTTGGTCAATGCATCATCTATACATTTGTTAGTCATGGAATATTATCTTTGTAGAACATTATCGGATTTATTTTTTCATAGGCCATATTGTGTTCTTTGTTTTGTAGGCTTTGATGCCAAGACATGCCAGGAGCGCAGCGAGAGCTATACCCCTTTTAGGTGCCTGACTGATCCATGTGTTGAGGCCTGCCACAAGGAGGGATTTATTGATGGGAAGTGTGTCATATTCAAGTGTTACTGCAAAGCATGTTAGAAACTACCGCATGACAATCCATGTCTTGCTGAATAAAAACATGTTGAAACTAGGGCGTGATGTGTGATGCAGAAAGGAATAGGATTCTTTTTTAAAAATTACTGGATATGAGCAATTGAGAAAATGTGGCTCTGCAAGATATTCCTTGGCAGATATTAAATTTCAAGGAGAACATTCGCTCTTTATACACAAATATCTAACTCGTGTCCATGTGCTACAAACTCATAGGCTAGAAATATTAGATGGATGATGATACCATTGCCAGTTTGCCACCGTGCTGCTGCACGTTGCGGTCATGGTCTTGGTGCAAGGAGTAGCCCTCAAGAAGCACCGTCGCCGTGGGTATGGCCAAGGCAACCACCCACTCCGTGGGCAAGCACCAACGGCTGGACCCTCTGCTCCGGCCGCCGCTGCAAACCAAGGCGCACCTGCGCCTGCACTGAACCATCACACGAATTGCCGGAGAACTTCCTCCCTCCTGGATACGGCCCCATCCCCGGCAGCAGCGGAAACCGGCGGCTACCCCACCGTCCCCGACATGAACATCAACATCAAGGTTGAAGAAGAGGAGATGGAGGACCGGGGCTCGTCGTCGACGCCACCTCCTCCATCACCGGCGACACCACCTCCTCCTCCGGCGCCACCTCTACCTCCCACGCCGGATCCTGCGCCAATTCGCCTCGGCCATGGCGCAAAACCGCGCTGCCCTCCGTGGCGCCTGGTCGCCGGATGCCCTCGGCCTCACCGGCGCCCCTGGGGCAAGCAGTAGCCAGTAGCGGAGGAGGCCGTGCTGCGGCGGCTTCCCTTATCCTTTTGGGGGATTTGATGATAGC